GGGGGTGAGGGGCAGGCGAAATTGAGGGGTCATCGGGAAAATTTTGGTAGGAAAAAGGGGGGTATGGGTAAATTTGTATCAGAAAAATTGGGGGATGCACAATTTTTGGAAGAAGCTACAAGCCTTGTATAGGGGGGATCGTATTTTTTTGCATGACTTTAAGGGGGGTGTTAAGAAATATTCTGGACATTTTAAATTTCTATCTGCCCCCCCCCCCCCTTTGCCATACATTATGAACGCAGCCTTAGATAATAAGGAATTCATCCATTTATTCATTCCTTGATCCATCCATCCTTCCGTATGTCAATCCACTGGTCTGTTCATCCATCTGTCCAAACGACCAACCATTCATCCTTCCATCCATTTATCCATCCATTTATTCTGAAAATTCATTTACTGGTACTCATTAATTCATCCATCTATCCAACCACTCATACATTCATTCATCCATCCCTCCATCTATCCTTGCATTCATCAAATATCCATCCACCCATATCTATCCATTCATTCATTCATTTCAAGCAGGTTCATACCTGCTTTGTTTCCTCATCTGTTACAGACACGAGATAAGGTTGATCTATTGGAACACCTTTCTATAAAAGAAATCAAGAAAAATGTCATTTCTATTTCAATGTATTGTCAGTAGTTCAGTAGTAAGGTGAAGGACGAGAGAACTGAATGCAATAAAGTATGGCAAAAAATGCACAATGCACACATATTTTCGATATGGAGAGTTTCTGTTTTTGTTTCATTGCTATAGATTTATAAGTATGCAGTTGTAATAGATTTATCAACTATTAAACATTTTGGCTTACCAAGTAGTCCTTTAGGTGAATATATGCCGGGTTGCATARCAACAGGTTGAGTGTTGTTTCAGAACAATAAATAAAGATGTTGGAACTAGTAATGATAAAAAGGTAAATTATACACCGTGAAAAGATGAAAAAACTTACTGACGTTTCAGACACTAGTCCTTCGTTGGAGTAAAACTAGAACAAAAACAAAACACCAAATATCCTGTCGTGCTGTGTTCACCATTATTCTAGCATCTTAYAGTAACGGCATTAAACCCTTGAAATAGATTTTAGACTAATACACTTTTAGTAGACCTTAATTCCATTGTTTTCTTTTTGTTTATTTGACTATTGCGCATATTTTTTTATTTCACGGGTTAAATGCCTTCACTCTATTATCACTTTTGACTGAAAGAATTAGAGATATTTGAGGGAGCCTGTTTTGTAGCCCATAAAAAAGTAAAAAAATACATATTAGTAGCTAGGAGACACTATAATTCCATTGTCCAAAAAAATGTAATCTAATTTACCAATCCATGGTGGAGGGAAAGACTAACAGGTTTTACAACCCACTYGATAAGCTCTTTTGTTTTACTTTCATCATGGGAGGCTGTGGCAATAACCGGTTTTATAATACCTCTTGAATCATGAGAAACATGCATGTACCTGTTCTTTAATGTGTTGGCAAATACTGGGGAGTCTAATCCTTCCATGTGGTCTGTAGAAGGGAAAATTTAAAGATGGTGTCATATGACATACTATATATTAATCATGATTAYATAATCATCTAATTTGTAATCATCATAGAAGTTCGAGCTTACGTATCACTACCAATGTAAATAATCAACATTCATCCTCACCACCATGATCATTGCCAATCATTGTCAATATATCATCATCATCATCACCATGATTGAATCATGATCATCACGATCATCAAAAACGTGATCATAATCATATTATCATACTATTATCACCACCATGGTCATTGCCAATCATTGTCAACATATCATCATCATCACCACCACCATGATTGAATCATGATCATCACAATCATCAAAAACATGATCATAATCATATTATCATACTATTATCACCACCATGGTCATTGCCAATCATTGTCAACATATCATCATCATCATCACCACCATGATTGAATCATGATCATCACGATCATCAAAAACATGATCATAATCATATTATCATGCTATCATCACCACCATGAWCATTGTCAATCATTRTCAACATATCATCATCATCATTATCATCACCATGATTGAATCATGATCAAAATCATCATTTTATTATCACTACAGTACCATAATCATCATCATAATCAAATCATGCACTACATTCCACATTTCTTTTCTTCAAAGAATCAAATATAAGAGAATACCTTTATGACARTGTGATAGGAAGAAAGCCTTAGAAGCTAGGTTTTCTTTAGTAAAGCAGTCTACAGAGATCCAAGGATATTCCTTAGTCTTCCCGCTAAAACAGCTCATCTCTAAAGCTGACTGAAGCTCAAAGTTGGATAAAAATTTCGAGTCTTATAGATACATATTTACAAACAGAATTTCGTAATTTAAAGATTGTTTCATTCTTAAATAATTTTCTCTGAACTCATCACGAAGCACAGCTTGGTGAACTATTTAGAGAAGGTATAAATACATAACCAAATCTTTCTTCAAATTTTTTTAAAAATGGCGGAAAAATTTCGTAAACCAAAGGTATCCCAAGAGGTCTGTTGTTATTACCAAATATGGTTATCACGAGTGTCACGGAAGATGACTCATTATTTTTTTAAAGTTTTCAAAAAAACTAATAGGAGGAAAATATAAGTAAATATTATTATTATTATTATTTCGTGTCTTGGTTCGAAAATAGATGGCTAAAGGAAGGAAAAGTGAGTTTTTGGAAGAAGAAAAATCGCGAGATTTTTGGTAAATATGTTGTGTTACACTACTATATTTGGGTATGGATACCATATTTGGATCATCAGCTCGACTTAATGGCCATGACACCAGACAGTCATGTTTTAAGTCGGACCAAATACTATTTTATAACCAGCCAAAATAAAGCATTTAAAAACGTCCATGAAGTACTAAAACCATGTCATTAGTTGAAAACAACAGTGAAGAATCTCTAGAGGGTGATTCAAGTGAATATGGAGACGATGATGACGAATACGAAGACGACTACTACACCAATAATTATGGAGAAGACGAAGCAATGGACTCTTGCCAAGATGAGGATCCTGAATTTTTTAGTTATTCTTTGCTAAATGAGGACGAAACTACAGAATTATTTAGTTCAATGATAGCTCAAGCTAGTAAAGAATTACAGGTTTGTTAAGGAATTGTGCTATTCAAAGGATACTAGATTTATTTTAAATTCTAGGACTATCGTGACTATTTTTTTCAAAAAGGAAAAATAATTGAGGGTTTGTTCCTCTTTTTTGCTTCAGGTATCAAGATCCATTGYCCGATTTCTTTTAGTTTCATATAAATGGGACCTTAAAAAGCTAGTTGAAAGGTAAGCAATCATATCTTTCTTTATTTTTCTAAAGCTTGAAGGAATTTTTCATTGGATCACCAGCAAAATGACAAATGATTTTGATCCAAATTAATCCTGTTGTAATAGTTTAAGGCTTATAAATTATGCTCTTAAATACTAAAAGGGATATAAACTCTTAGGAATATTAARGATATTCTATTGGAATGACACCAGAATGAGAAATTTATATGCGTTTTGTACCAGGAATCTTTTATTCTATATTTTCTTCTTTTAAACATAAATATGTGAATTATTGATATTTAAAGTCAACTGTTAAGTTTGTGACAAAACTAAACTTAGTATGGAAGCTTGTCTAAAGACAAAAAATGTACAATTTTGTAATATTTATTCCACCTATAATATATTTTCATGAATTTTCTTGGATGCTAATTATATAAATATCTATGCATCTATCAATGGTTTGCCCCAGGATGGGGAGGAACGGGTACCCCACCAGGATTTGACATTATTCAATGCCCTACGGTAGGGAATTTGATGTGGTTGCTATCTAAAAAAAGCCAGGAAATTCAATAAACTAAGGGTGGAAATCTGACTTTCAACAGTTGTTATGGGGTGTGGGAATTGGAATTTGGGGGTGTCTAATTGAAAATGTCGAATTATCCTCTGTCATTGCCCTTACACCCCTCCCAACACCACCCCACCTCACCCATCCTGGGGCCAACCATTGATAGGTGCATTATGAGCTTGAAAAAAATCATAATTTTTAAATTGAAGATTGATAAATAATTATCAAAGATCATTTATTTCATTTCTTACTTGTTATAGGCACAGAATTGATCCAGTGGGATTGTTAGTGGATGCACAGCTCATGCCTAAAAAACCTCCCAAACTAGGGGTAAGTTGGAATAAAAGCAAGGATGGTGTGCACAGACTGGCTACTGTTTTATAGTGTACGGTCTCTCACTATGCTATGGTCATGTTTGAACCTGTGATTCACCATCAATAAATATTCTATACGTGGGTACTGTTGTTTAGTGACCCTCTTCTGTGCATCGATGTTTCTCCAGGGTGTGAGAAAAAGATTACTGGACAATATAGAGGGAACAATGTTCGGCCGGTCAATAAACAATGTATGGCCACAATTTGCATTTGTCTAACCAAACACTAGGACAGACCTCTTAACCACCTGCTCAATGGACAATATGTGACCAAAATTTGCCTATGTCTAGCTATATTTGAATGCCTCCTTAAAGACAGACCTCTTGAGCAGCCACCTGTTAATGCTGATGTGGCTGGTCTTTATGCCTGGCCATGAGTAGACATTTAACAATCATTCGCTGAAGTCGAAGTGGTTATCGGGGATTATTTACTGAGAYGCGGGTCTTCGAGCAGYGAGGTAAATATTCCCCAATAATCACTGAGCCTGAGGCAAATAATTGTTTTAGTATAAATACACAGGTGATTCTTTCAAAAAAATTAAAAAAAAGAAGATAAAAGGCATTTCTTTCCTGTAACAGTAACAAAGCTGCTGGCCGCCATTTTGGATTTTTGCTCGAGGTGATTATCATGTTAAATAGTGTGAGTTTCTTGACCAATCAGCGCGCAAGATTTTCTATAATTACGTGCGTATTTTTACTAATAATTATTATGCCACTAAAGTATTACTGTAGAGAAAAAAAGACTTGAATGGGGTATTATTCTACAGTACATTCTAAGGGTCTAACTTTATTTTTTCCTTATTCTGGCAGAGTACCAGACTGTCTGTCTGTCCAGTGTGTTTTCAGCGCTGCTCCAAGTCAAGTATAACAAGTCTGGAATGTGGACATGGTTTTTGTGATGTGTGCTGGAATGCATATCTATCAAATCAGATTCAAAATGGAATATCAACAGGTTAGACATTTTAACTCTTGTGAGTAACAGACTGATTTAGCAAACACAACTCAACATGAATGAGGAGGGCGCACACACTAATGTGTGGCATCCGAAATGGCTGTTGATATCACGACATTCTGAACAGGAGGTGAAACCAGGCAAAATGGTGTACTAAATGTGGTGTCACGACGTCAATGACCTTTTGAGAGCGATTCGTCATCATGCACTATCATGAAGCTATTTAGTGATTTACTGAAGAATATTTATTGTTATTTATATAGCYCTTGTTTCACTTYCCACRTCATCCACGGGAATATGTAACCTTATGCAAATTATAGAAATATGTTATATAAATAAGTTGTGTAGCTTAAGATAAGAAGAAATGTGTAGTTGGTGTGAGCTGTGTATTAATGCAAGAAACAAAGAATCTTTGTCCGTATAGTTTACTCGTGTACACCATGCACACCATGTACCATCCTGTTCCATGTCGTATCGTGTTTGTTACATTGATCAGTCTAAATTTTTAATAGGTTGAGAGCTATATAATATGATATAATATCATTATTATAATAATTATTATTATTGCTTCATGTGTGGAATGTTCCCTTGCTCCAGCTGAGTTTCCACCATCATCTTTATGAGGCTAATCCTTTTTCAATGTGGTTATAGGCATGGAATGTATGAATTGTGATTTAATCATCAGCGAAGAAATAGTCTTAAAGCTTCTAAAGAATGCCAGTTCAAAAGAAAAATACAAAGAGTTTCTATTTAATGACCAGGTTAAGGTAAGCCCTTGTTAATAGTTATGTTAATCGACTACATGTGAATTGCTTACTATCAATCACATGACTTTTTGGAGTTGACTGGGGGGCAAACAAGCGGTTGACTGGGGGGCAACTAGCGAATGCTAAGTCAAAACATATCAAAATAAGTCCTCAAACTATTGTATTTGACTATTTTCACGACATCAAACCAGAAAACAAGAGATCAAAACAACCTCCAGGATTCTACAAGCAATCAAAAAAGAGCTATTACCGGAAGTGACGTCTATTGATAGCAACCTATTACAGAGGAGTCCTGTCTGTCCGTCTGTCCGTCCATCTGTCTGTCTGTCTGTATCATGTATGCCTGTAGTTCGGTCTGTCTGTCCGTCCATCTGTCTGTCTGTCTGTATCATGTATGNCCATCTGTCTGTCTGTCTGTATCATGTATGCCTGTAGTTCGGTCTGTCTGTCCGTCCATCTGTCTGTCTGTCTGTATCATGTATGCCTGTAGTTCTGTCTGTCTGCCTGYCTGTCTGCCTGTCTGTTATGTCTCTAATCAATTGTTAACATTTTGGTTATAATGTTGATATATTTGTATATCAATAGAGTCATCCTCAGCTGCGGTGGTGCCCAGGACCCAACTGTGGTCACATCGTTAGGGCAGAGGAAGAGGAACCAGGCCCAAAACGAGTCATATGTAACTTTTGTGGCTCAATATTCTGGTGAGCTACACGCAGGCATATTGTATCATTGATATTATTTTATAATGGTCCATATTATTATAACAGTACATAACAAATCCAACACTACAACAGCAGGCGTCAATTGAATCCTTAACTATAAAATATTCAGACAGCATAGCTCAGACAATACAGTATTGCGTTAYATAATACACTCTATAACACTTTACAATGAATTTCCAAACATAAAATATAGAAATATACATAGATATAGAGAGAAACCTTCGCATTCTGTCCAAGCCGGGCATCAGAACCCCAAACCGTGGCTACTGCTAGTGCTCGCCAAGCCGATTCAGACAGAGTACCTGGGTTTCACAGAAATTTAAGCTCTACTTTAAGTTATATAAACTTGCATCTACAAAATGTTCAAAATTGTTCAAAATGAATTAATCACCTTGCTACATGTGCTCTACTATGAAAAACTGTAAATATTTCTAAAAGAAATTGACTTTTCCAATATATCTCTAATGTCTTTCACCAGACTTTTAATTTGATAGAAGTGAGAGTTTGAATGCACAGAGGGTGGTGGATTTTGTGAAAGTCTAATACACTGTATCTTATTTTTGGAGATATTGATTAATTAAATCATTGTTTTTACTTTTATTTTGAAGTTTTAATTGTGGAGAAAACTATCACATACCAACAGGTAAAGCAAAGAACTTCCTACTTTATGATAGCATTAAATAAATACTATTAAGAGATTAACAAGGCTTGGTATTGAGTTTGAATTGCAGTTTGCATCACCTCATGTAGGAACAGAATCAACTTAGTTGGAGTGTGCGACTTTGTGTTTGCTAGAGCTGCTGCTTCTGAGTCCACTACGTAAATGACTATTTATATTCTACAGTAAGAGATTAATCATAATTATTTTATTCATTTAGACTGTGTTACTATCAGAAAGTGGTTAACAAAATGTGAAGATGATTCAGAAACYGCAAACTACATCACAGCTAACACCAAAGATGTAAGTAGCTAGCAATTACTATTAAGGGTAAGTTAGAGTAATGACCGTAGGGCGTACCAAGATTTTGTCTTGGGGGGGAGGGGCAAAACCCATTTTCAGGACACCTGTTAGTCTCGTGAACCTACAGTATCACATGACTACTTAGGTATAGTCACCACGAGGATGATGGGGATGGCAGGGCCCATAATATGACAAAAAGTTTTGGTAGTCATCAATCAAAATCTTTTCATGTCAATGTCAGAAAAATATTAATGTCATGTCATGGAAAATAACGCCTTGATTAGGGTCCACCAAATTTATCTTATGCTTCATCATGACTGCCAGTTTTTCAATTCCACACATGTGATTGAAAAGCACAGTCTGTAATGTTTGATTATCTGTTTTTATTAGTGTCCCAAGTGTGGTAGCTGTATTGAGAAAAATGGAGGATGCAATCACATGGTAATATTTATCATTATTTACTAGATTATTATTTATAGTCTGTGGTAGTCTTCATCAGAATGAGGTATGATAATAAGTGYAGAGTTTTTATAGTTGTTTACTGTTGCRTAACCATGGTGACCAGAAGCTATTGTYGGRTATGGATATCCTTTAGAAGTCGTTTCCAGGTAGTGCTCATTCTGATGAAGACTACCACAGCATAGAAAAATGTTTTCAACATATCGTGCTTCAAACCAAAAAAAAMCCTCATGYATAATCAAAAWTTTGTTTTATATCCTTTGCAGCAATGCATCAAGTGTAAATATGGTAAGTTCTGTGACTCCAAAACCTATATTCATGTTAACCATCCTATACACTCTACTCTACCCACACATGTCAAAAACGTTCAACCACATTGATGAAAGGCATGTGATATAGTTACTATACCACCCATGCTTACAGATTTGCCACTGATAACTGCTTGCATTGCAACCATTATTGCACATGTATTAGATTGSTTTTCSTATGAGTRTACAACATTCCTTAAYRTTGAAATGGCTTTCCAAGGTCTTTCGTAGTTCATCCAACCACAACATGTAGTTACGGTTACGAATTTGCCGTATCGATTCCCACTCGGATGAAAACTGCTCTATTTTGGCCAAACACTGTATGTAAGTTAGCCTGCATAGCATTCAAAGAAGGGGACAGGATCGGGGGAGGGGGGGGGGGGTCAGTTGGGACAGGATTAGGGGGACATGGTCTTTGGAAAAGTCAGAATTCCTCTCGTCATCTTTCTATGTTTTCATTTAACTCTTATCCCTATATGTGTAGACTTCTGCTGGATGTGTATGGGTGATTGGAAAGTCCATGGATCAGAGTATTACGAGTGTAGTCGATATAAATCCAACCCTAACATTGCCAATGAATCAGCCGGGATACAGGCAAGAGAGGCGCTCAAGAAATATCTGTTTTACTTTGAGAGAGTAAGTGCTTTATTTATGAAACATCATTTGCGTCATAAATGATGAGTTCAACAATACTGGAATGGAATGATTCTAGACAAAATCGAGGCTAACCCTGTACAGAAGAGATTTCAAAACTGGAGTATTCAATCTGTAATGTAGCTGTGCCTTGACTTAGATCAGCCGGGGGCTGTTTCAGGGTATCATGGTTAGCATGCAWTGTTCYGTGAGCAKTRTACTCTAAATATTRAAAGAAAWCTGTTGTTTTCCAGTGGCAGAATCACACAGACAGCTTGAAACGAGAAGCAGAAACAMGGCGCAAAATAAACCAGAAAATTGAAGAGAAAGTGAATAATAAYATTGGAACATGGATTGACTGGCAGTATCTACTRAACGCTGCAGCTCTGCTGGCYAAGGTAAACAAAATGTTTGTAATACTATAGAACAAGAAACTGTGATTGAGCAAGGGCTTCAGTGCAAATCGAAAAACCGTGGACACCTAGAAATATTTCAAGAATGTTTCTTAACCAATCAGAAGC